TCGCCAGATTGGCAACACCCTGCGCCGATCTGTCGGGTGCTGGTATTTGGAGGCCCGCATGCAGAACAGCCAGGTCCTTCTTTAAGCAGGATAGCTTCCTAAAGGGTTTCTTTTCTACGTTGGAAATATCCAGCAAACCGCGTTCGGAAAGGAAGCTTCGGCGCTTGATGGCACGAGGGATACGAATCATAGATTCGATGTCTCGCCATCTTAATCTCGTTAGTAGAAGTCTCCTTCCTTGAGAACAGCGGGGACTCATCGTGCAGTTGCCTTGCTAGCCTTGAGCAACACTGTACTCGTACTACGCAAAAGGATGTACCCTCAATGCGCAAACTTCGTCCTTTTCTCTTATTTTTCTACTTCGAATAAGTAAATCTGTTTCAGTTTTAAAGGGAAGCTGAAACACTTCTTGAAAAAAACGAGTTAGGGGTGAATTCTGGCGTATTTCTATCCCGTGAATCTGAATATCACTTTTATTTTCCCCGAAGATGCAACTAAAAGCGAGAAAAAGCGAAAAAACATTCGACCAGTCGTGACGTCATACTAGGATCTTCGGGCCTCCAAGCGCGTGTCGCTCGTGTGTTCAGCGCGTGCAACGGCAAGCTTGCCAGGTATATTTTCCCGCACTGACACCAGTCGTGACGTCTCTTTCTGACCTTTCTGAAAATAGCAAGAGTGTGCGTGCATAGCTTTGACAGGCGCTGAAGATGCGCGAGAGCAGGTATTCCGAACGCTCCTAGTGTGACGTCACGCCCCGGGAAGGAGGGGCTTCGGCGGTACTTTAAAAATTAATTTCTGAAGCCTCCGTGCACCAAATTGAAAAATAATCTTGATATTCCTGATCCTGGAGGTAGAATGAAGGCCATTGAAATGTTTTTTCTCAAATAGAGAACCGCTTCAGTTTCCCTTTAAGTAGCAGAAGCTACAAGAGCGAGTGCCGGCCTTTCAGCGTCCTTGATAAGCACGCGCGCTCGTGCAGTCCAAGCACTGTTTAGAGCAACATGCTCATGCTTATACCTTCGGCTTCACTCGCACACAAGGTGGAACGGTTATATTTATATTTTATAGCTTGATATTTCTTCAGGTGTGTGCCTACTCTTTTGTGCTCAATATTGTCGCCTTCGTTTTTACTACCTCTACAATCACGCTCCCTTTTACTCTTTTGGTGTTAACGCTTAGGTTTATTTGTCTTACTAGTACTATAAACGTCCACTTGTGGGGCTACGCAAGCAAATTTTTTGAACCCGCTCAAAACGCTCTTACGCTGAAGAAAAACGCTCTACTAAAACGCGTTTTTGGACCTCCGCTTTCCATTCCGGCGAAGCGGGCCGCGCATGCGCAGTTTGGCACCCTCAGAGCGGAGCGGAAGATGAAAACGGTATACTAAAACTCTCTAATATGTCGACTGCTACGCTGAACACCATTTGAGGTGAGGCACTGGATGGGAGTGCCATATTGTTCCTCACGAATGCTTCATGCTCTGCATTGAGCTTTTTCAGCGAAGCAAGAGAAGTACTATTTACCTCGAATGTAGAGCAAAGCTTCGTCGTTGCAGCCGTTGCCTACTATTCGAGAGATTTAGTAGATCCTTCCGATACCTCCGATACCCGCGATAACGATATGATGCATACGCAAAGACGTCGGCGAAGTATCGGATATCGTTATCGGGGTCATCGGACCGATCTAAATTCTCCATTGTCTAATACCCTTGTTACACGGGCACACTTAACTGCAGTTACGCTAAGCCACAGTCAGCGCACAATATTTGCGGACAACATTCTGCAGCTATGCAGTCAAAGCTATGGGCGAACGTGCGCTTGAGCATCTTGAGCACCCATCAAAGCAGAGCGCGCGCGCTCTTCACTTCTTCTGAAATAGCTGTCCGAGAGTATAGTGTGGTATCTGTGGTGCCGCGCAACAGCAGTTAAGCTGAGTTAACCGCGGTTAAGTGTGCCCGTGTAACAGGGGTCTAAATCGCGAAGCTGTAGAAGTCATCAATAGCAAAACATAGTTGTAACAGTAAGGTGATAATTAAATAATAAATAAGGTTTGGCTCGATACTCTTCTCCTTTGGTTCTGAACAGTTCGAGCCTCACTTGAGACGTTGGTGAATAAAAGAAAGTTTCCAGTATATAAATATAAGTATTGAAAAAAAAAAGGACACTCATAACAACAATTAATTAGAACGTCGGTTAAAACAAGGAAATGTAAACGCACGTTTGCCGTGTGTACTTTCTTGGTGCCGTTCAAAAACGCACGGAGTACGAACCGACTGCAGTTTACTTCGGTGTTCTCCAGATAGACGTCCGCTGATGCCAAGGGCAGCAAAGGGTAGAAGTAAGCCGCGCTATGGCCCCACTCACGAATTTCATTCTCTCCTCAAGCCCAGAATATCAAGTCTACGTCAGCCACCATTATGTTTTATTTGTAAAAAAATATCTGCTTGAGATAAGATGGGCCCTGCCAACACCACCTAGACAGAAGGCCTCCGCATGATTTCCTCTTCTATGAAACGTCATCACAGTCGGATCGCGCTCGGTCGGCTATTGGACCCGAGCCCGACCTTCGACGCGCTGATTGGCCACGAGCCGCAGCCGAACACTGACGCAGCACTCGTGCCCAATCTCTCGCCTCGATCGATCTGACTATGATGACGCGTGTGGAGGCCTTCTGTCTAGGTGGTGTTGGCCCTGCTGGGGCAAAACAGGAAGAAGAAGGGATGACTATTACCATTTTCTAAGTGGTCGCAAAAAGCTGACTCACGAAAAGGGTAGGGTAGACGGAGCGTTGTCTCGTGTTGTGACATTATGAAAATGGTCGTAGAAGGACATTGTTAATTCTTTTCAGTGCATTTACCGCCTCGAGCTTCTCGAAGAGGCGCACAATCACTTGGTGCACTCCTCTTCCCGTCTTCGATCCCAAAGAAAAAACAGAGGGACTAAAAAAAAGCGGAAATAACTCGCCCCCTCCACCCTCCCTCCCCACCCCCCCCCCTCCCCCTTTTTTTTGTTTTTTTTTTTGTTGAAATGTTTATTTGGATTTTTTGACATTGTTGTTAGGGTCTAAAAAAACAGATTCAGGGGCTTGGTGTTGCAAAAAAAAAAAAAAAAAGGCTTTGCGGAACTGAAGTGCCATGCCTCCTTTCGCGCTGGTCAATTCGCGTGATAGTGTCACTGCGCTCGACTTTACAAAAATGAAAAAAAAAAAAAAAAAAAAACTTTATTTAGAAGGGGAGGGGGGGGGGTTGGTTCTGACAAAAAAAAAATGTAACGGATTACAAGGAATCCGTTACGTCAAAAATGTAAGGGAATTACTTTAAAATTACTCTAGAAAATATGTAATTATTCCGTTACTAAATTACTGATAAATGTAAGGAATTACAAGTAATTTCGTTACTTGTAACGGATTACGTACAAGTCTGGTTCTATGCAGGAGAAAAAAGCTTAAAAGTTAGAAGTGAATATTGTGCGTATTGTTTTTTTTTATTTAGTGCATCAAGACAGACATGGTGGTCTCTTAAAAAGTTCAGTAATGTTGGCAATGTATGCTGTAACATTTGAAGCCCATAATTTGTTCTAGGACGAGGTACTCTCAGGGACCCGGCGCTACGTACTCCGTATACCGTATTTTTAACACTTAGTCTAGAAAACCGCAGTAATGGGTGGTTAAAATACTTAAGGGATGCCGCGTATACTGTCGCAAGCTTATATCACTGAACGAGTGCAATTTAGCCATTCCTTGCACTTTCTATATCGTCTATTCCGACATTTCGAGTATCAAGTTGGCCTTACACAAAGTTGTGAATACGTTCTTTCTCGCGAGTCACGACCCGAATATAGCCAGGTGTAGATTTTATGAAAACAATATCTAGTTACCTTTAAGCACGCGCTTGTACTTTGTGACTGAACACTTACATCTTAGTGTCTTGAAGCCCTATCTATGTTGTGGTTTTTCTTTTTTCTGTGCAAACGCTTTTTAATCGGGTGTATCAACCGTGAAACAACAATACACGTGGAGGGCACTGCGCATGTCTCGTATTTTGATTAGCGCCTGTACTCCGCACTGCGCATGTTTCGTATTTCGATTTGCGCCACTACTCTTGGCGTGGAAACTTTCAAACACTAACTTCGAGAAGCAACTGCTGCTAAGTTACAGTATGAAGTAAAAAGCGTACTTTTTAATGTTATGCAATAAAACGTTGTGAGGGGCGTTTTCAAGTTTTTCTCATTTTTTCGTGTTATACAAAAGTAACTGAAAAGTAACGTCGTTACTTTTTAAAAGTAACTGTAACTGTAACGAGTTACTCTTGTGTTGCAGTAACTGTAACGGTAACTTCGCTACTTTTTTTCTGAAAGTAACTGTAACTGTAACGAATTACTTTTTAAAAGTAACTTACCCAAGACTGCTTGTAGTTGACTGCACTCTTTGGAAACCCTGGGCCTGCCACGTTTCGCACGTGACTTCATGCACGTTCACGTAGGCCTCGAGTGCTCTGCGGAACGCGTCGCCTGATACCTGAAACAGGACCTAAAGTTTCAGGCGAATTTCTGCGTTTCTCGAGTTTATGAAGAGGCATCGATTGCTTTTGATGGTGAGCTCTTGGGCCGCGAGCAGCCGGTCCCTCGGTGTTGTTGAGTGGAAGATGGCCAGCCACAGGTGATCGATTCAGTATGCGCCAAAAGACGCCACGTCACCCAGGCCTTTCAGTCGTTGAAATTCTTCACGAACGTCGTCGATTCGATGCGACCGGCCGGTAACGTCGCAGTGCAAAAACAGGAAATTAAGGGTGACAAATTCAGAGGGCAGGGGGGCGGGATTATGCAACAGTCGTCGCCTGCACAAAAACCGTGGCCAGCGAAGGACATTGCAAGCGCTCCTGACGGGCGTCCCACTCCACGTTCGATTTGGTCGACGTTCGAAAATGAAATGCCACCGACTAGACCATTCCTACCTCAATGACAGAAGACAACTCTGGTCCTTCCCCCCGCCCCCTAGACGTCATCAAACGCGGCCTTCGCGTGACGTCATCAGTAGCATCGCCGACCGCGCGTCGAGCTGCGTCTCAAAACGAGCGTGTCGCTAGCATGCGGCGACGCAAAAGCGGACGACTAACGGTGACGTCACACGAAGGCTTCGTTTTCTAGGTGCACCAACTCGCTGTTCAGTTCATTAGGTCCACTCATAAAAGTCTCGTTTGTCCACGGCGTGCACTCTGATTGCTGCGGGTCTCAGAAGCCGACGTTATTGTGGTTGAGCTCGCTCTCAGAGCCCCTCCTTGCCGGCTGGACACCGCAAAAGAGCGCCTTGTACGCCCTTCGGTAGTCCCTACTCATGGCCACGTACACGAGCGGATTGAGACAGGGCGCGGCGTAGAAGGCGCCGTGGATGACTAGCCGCAGCCAGGGCCGGCCGGAGCCCAAGCCGAGGCCGACAGTGAGCAGCAGGGGCAGGTAGCAGACGCCGAAGGAGACCAAGATGGCCGCCAGCATGAGGAGCAGCTGCCGTTCCCGGCACGCCGCCGACGTCAGCGAGTTGGAGCGAACGCCCAGCGAGGACACGTCCAGCATCGAGCTCGGAGGTGCCGCGTTCCAAGGCTGCATCATGACGCTCCTGCAGTGGGGAATAGACAGCAAAATATTCATTACTCAAATGGCTGTCCACCTGGGGGACTCAACCAGCGTCAAAAGCGCAAGTCACAAGGCCTTTCATGTAAGTGGTTGGTCCAGCGATGGTAGAACACGCACATCACGAAAACCATGATGGTGTGCTTGTGACACCGTTTGATTGATCCTATTAGCTCATACCGTCAGGTGCGTCTGGACTTATCAAGACAGAAGATATAAATAGAAGGCCGTATAGTGCTCAATTTTCTACCTCACCCTGAAGGCATGTTCACACACTTGCGAATGTATTAGACCGTGTGCCTTAAAACATATTAAACTCTTTTACGACGAGAGAACATACTGACGCGATTTTGCCATCTGTGCCGTGGCTTTGGAACTGAATTACTACTAGAACGAAGGATTCGCAGTATGTGCGAAACCAACTTTGCGTACTCCCATAGCCTCCTATGATACTGGCAAAATCTGGCAGATCGCCAAGAGAAGCGGCCGCCGAAATGGAAAAGGTGGAGCGGCAGACAACGAATGAAAGGAGAGCCACGTGACTGGCGTCCACGCTGCGGCGAGACGCCGAAACACACTTCTCCCGAGCTAACAAGTGTGTTTCGGGTCCTCGCCGCCGCAAAAACTGTCCGCTGACGTCCAGGTTCCCCGAAAAATGGCTCTTTGATGCTCTGTGCTTCCAGATTCTCGCGCTTCAAATCTGCAACCGGGCACTCTATTGCTCCGTCATCGAACTGCCAGGCTTTGTGAGTATAGAGGAGGATATAATGCGTATACCTATGAGAAATGGTCGTTTATAACATTGATAAGAGTTTTATTGAGCCGAAAATAGAAATAATGATGCACGAAAAAAAAAAGAGGAAATGATAATGATGAAATACGCTTATTGCTTTCAGAATTAAAGCTCAGCGATCGCTAAGAAAAACCTAAGAAAAAAAAAGTTTTGCGGAGGCCCGTTTTTTTCCAGGTAGGAAATGACGGACCTCAGCGGCCGAAGTCTTCTTTTGGAATCCCCTGCTGGTTTTATCCATTCATTAGGTATTTTGGGCTTGTCTTCGGGATCTATTGTTGCATGTGCATCTCCCCTTTCTCCACAGGAGGTGATCGATATTTGGTGGGGTCTTTTCTTTACAAAAGTTACTCTCTGGTGGTTTCGGTATGAATTCCGGGTCTTGTCTCCACTTTGTTTGTCTCCCATTTCTTTGGGAGGTTCGGGGTTATAGCACTTCCTGTCCTTACCCTTCTCAAGAGAACTGTTTGGTGTCTATCAGGAACATGCAGGCGCCACCTATCGGGTGGTCGTGGTACACTCGGCAGTCCCGAATATATTTCCTTTTTGACCCTATTCCTTCTGGACTCAAAAAGGAAATACACGGGGCTGCCGAGTGTACCACGACCACCGGATCGATGGCGCCAGCATGTTTTTTTGTCGTATGCGATTTTAAGAGGTTTTTTGGAGCACGGTTTTAGGCAGTCGCAAGTGTGTTAACCTTAAAAAAAAGTCACAAATGTCACAAAGGAACAGAACGTTATAGAAGAAGGAAGTAAAGCAATGTAGTGTTCTGTCGCCCTATGGCATTTCCTATTTGAGCACCCTTCAAGTCAAATACGTTTTCAGTTGTGTTTGAGCAGCGGCGTAGACTTTCCATTTTCCCAGGGGGGGGGGGGGGGGGCAGGCTGAAAAGTTCTCTGGGGGGGGAGGGGGGGAGGTGCTTTACCGCTTCCGCGGAAAAGCACCCCCCCTAGAAGCACCCCCCCTCCCCGGAAGCACGCTGGCATGGGCGTACCAACCCGGGGGGGGGGGGGGAGGAGGGGGGGCAAGGGGGGCACTTCCCCCCCAGTTCTCAGAGTGGGGGGCAAGGCATGTGTTTTGCCCCCCCTCCCCCTCCCTCCTGAAACAGCCGCCACTGAGCAGGGCAAACACTGGCTGGTGGCGCCCAAAAGATACAAAGGGCGCCGCCCCCGGCCTTGGGGTGGGGGAGGGGGGCGGGTTTGTCCCCCCCACGTTCAAAAATAAGTTGGTACGCTACTGCACGCTGGGATTCCGTTTCCATGTATTTTGTCAATAAAGGCAACGTGGGCATTATTTTGTTTACATGTCACTACTAGAAACTCGTTACATGGCACGTAAACATCGTCTCGGTAAGGATCATGGCCCGGGCCCGCAAAAGACTCTGCCCCGCCCCTCCCCCCCCCCCCCCCCCCGAATCTCACCAGGGGGGGTACGAGCCCCGATGCCCCCCCCCCCCCCCCCCTTAGTCTACGCCTATGTGTTTCAGGGTATGTTTTCGTGTCGTTTTGACTTCCTGCAGTCTCGGGCGTGAGTTACGTCTAGTAGTCTTGAGTTACGTCTAGTATTCACCAGCTCGTATGCGCACTGACTTTCTCTTGATGTGTACTGAACTCTCAGTGCAATGGGACAATACCAGTTTGTTTGAAAACTTTACGTGTTTAAGTTTTGCCAGTAAATTTTTGGGTGCTTGGAAAACTATTCAGGATCAATTAAAGGCCCGCAAATGCACTGCAGCACAAAAATACGTCCCCAATAACCGAGGTCAGCACATGAATTCGGCACTGTTCGGACGGGTACGTACTGTGGGGCATCAAAATTTGCAACTTAGTACTCAAACTGAGCCCTTTTTACCACTTAGTAGTTTTGATGAGAGCCCTTCAATAGTGAAAGCAAAAAACGCAAAAAAAAAACGAAAAAAAAAAAAAAAAAAAAACGACGATGGCTTGTTTGTGTTAACAGTGTCGCGGAGTGTACAAGCCTATTCCTGTCAAAGATTGCTGCCTTTGTGTTAGCAGTAAGCAAAGGAAGTGCGCGATAAGCACATCTTGCTTGGAAGACGGAACAGAATTGCAAGAAATTGTTAAGCACATTTATCTGCGCCGAAGGACATAAAATGGAGGCCGACTGACACGTTGGATAGAACGCGTTGAATGATAATAATCGAGATGCCCTATTATGCTCTACTGCAGGTTAAGAAAAGAAAGACAAGATCCTCTCGCAGAACCCCCCCCCCCCCCCCCTTTTTCCGCTTTAGTATTGCGACAGCGGGAGAGGAGGTGAGTAGACTCGCCTTCTCTTCAGCCATCGCTCTGCTATAGCCTCCTATACAGCTTTTCTACGTGGGCGTGGCCGTATTTAATTCCGGAACTTCCGGTATGTGTGAAAGCATCGCTTTATTCTCGCCTCGACAGTAGAACGCGTGAACATTTTAATTGCAACCCTCAGTCGTTCTTGTTATGACCCCTCTATACTTTTTTACTTGTTCGGGGTTGTAATCTCTTGCTTTTTTTCGGAAAGCATACCGGAGAGGGGGACAACGTGGCTGGGTGCGAGGCTAAACGAAACAGGTGTATACACTGATAAAGCCTGGCACATCACCACGAGAAGTGGCCGCAGAAAATGGAAAAGGTGGAGCAGCAGACAACGGAGGAGGGGAGAGCCTAGAGTTCCTCGATATGCTCCCCCGAAGCATATCGAGGAACTCTAGGCTCTCCCCCCCTTCGTATCTCCTCTCCTGAATTCATAGCCATAGCCTCCTATATACTGAAAAAGCCTGGCTGATCGCCACGAGAAGCGGCCGCCGAAATGGAAAAGGTGGAGCGGCAGAGAACGGATGAGAGGAGAGCCACGTGACTGGCGCCCGCTGCGGCGAGACACCGAAACACACTTCTCCCGAGCCAACAAGTGTGCTTCGGGTCCTCGCCGCTACAAAATCTGTGCGCTGACGTCCAGGTTCCCCGAAAAATGGCTCTTTGATGCTCTGTGCTTCCAGATCTTCGCGCTCGAGATCCGCAACCGGGCACTCTATGGCTCCGTCGTCCAACTACCAGGCTTTGTGAGTATAGAGGGGGCTATGGCTCTGCTAAAGTGGAAAGGTTGTGGGAGGAGCTCGATCGGATTTTTTTTAAAACCTGAAGCACAGTATAGTCGTTCTGTTAAGGTTGCTGCTACGGTTAACTATCAGTGACCAATTCCCTTAGAATGATTAAAACCCCATATGTATTAAAATAAATATTGGTGCTGTGCACTCTAAATATCGTCACGTACGAAGAATGACCATGCATAACTGGGAAAACTAAGTGTTTCATGAGGCGAATGTGTGCCAAAACAAAAATATAATACCTTCCGTCGCGGGCGGCGTGTCGGCGTAGCAGCATGATCGATCGCTGGCGACGGACTGACCCAACGCAGCGCGCTATAGCTGATTTTACATTGGCTGTGTGTTGGGGAACGCTTTTATTCCGAACACTCAATAAACAAAGAGAATGGGCTGGAACCTTCCAGTGGCGAAACGGAAAGAAAAACCAATATGGTGGGATACGGTCTTGAGTGTTCTGCACAGGAGCCGCATGCACTGCCAAACCAACCACAAACTTTTTTTTTTATTTAGTTACGCACGCGGCAATATTACTTTGTCAGAGGGGGAGGAACAACAAAGCTTCAAAATAGACGCATATAAAACTATCGCCTATCTTAATTAACCAGAACGCGCAGAGATTACGATTCTTTGTTTAGTCTTCTGTGGTACGCAGCAGATATACCGGGATCAATTAGAATTGCCTACTAAATGTCTGGCCAGCAGGCTGGTAATAGTTTTCCTGGCGACATGTATATGGGCACGCTCCGTCCGCTAGGAGCCACTACCGATCGCCCAGCGAACAGCGCCGCGCGCGGCCACTTTTGAGTCATCGTAAAGAGAGCGGTAGAGAGCTCCGCCACTGCTCCCGCGCTTCCACCAATGTGGTAGGCCAAGCAGGTATATGGACTTTGCAACACCCACCTGTATACCACTGAAGTCAAGCTGCGACTGCCGAGGTCGCTACCTGGTGAGTATGCGCGACGCCGCCGCGAGAGGCGCGCGTATCGGCACTGTGTTACATCTGCAGGGTGCCCATCGTAGTTAGCGGTAAGCTAGTGTCTGAATATCGTTACAAAGTCAAGCTTCATTAAGGTAAACAACAGAAAGTGTA